GGTCCCTTCCGACCCTAGAAACTGTGAAACTATGAAACTGTTTTTTATTGTTCCCCTGTGGTAATGGGATACTGTTTTGTCCACTCCAACCTGACCTCAGAATCTGCTTGCATATGGGTGTGGGGGTAAGGATCCTATGGCCTTGACCTGAGCCTATTAAAGGGCATATGTTGCTGCCCTGAATAGTGCCAAAAGTGACAGATGTGTAACTTGCTTTTGTCCCAGAAGAGTGAAAAGAAGTCCAAAAAGCACCATGACGGTTAGGATTGTGGTAAGCTCCAGAGTCTCAACAAGAGACTCTAGAACAATTTGACTGTCTTGGATCCGGGCTTCTAGTGGCCTGTATTTATTATTAAGCATGTGTTATGGTAGTGCTTTGGATCCAACTGTGAATGGAAACTTGGGTGCAGACAGAAGGTGAGCTCCCTGCTGCAACCAAGAATGCTTTGCAGGAAGGTCTCTGAGTTACAAGAATCCCGCAGACCAAACAGAAGTTCACTGTTGGTTCCATGGGGAGGGGAATCTAGCTGCTGGCTGTAAGCCTGCAGCTGGTTTGCCCTAGCAATAGCCCCTCCTCTCTGTAAGTCTCTGTGAGGGGGGGGAAAGGAGCAGATAGAGCTTGTTCTAGGGGCACTAGGGATTCCCCAGCCAGTGCTGGACGGTGGGGTGGATTGGAAGCTCCAATCATGTTCTCAACAGGACTCAAACTAATAACAGAATGTTTTAGAGGATTATGTTGCTATTAAGGAGATAAAGTTACCTTTCTCCTCCTCTAAACTATTAATATAGCAGAATCATGGGGCAAATGCACAGAAGTTCTTGGCTAGAGGGTCTTTTGCCCCTCTGCTCAGGGTCAGACCAATTGCCCTATTTGGGGTCAGGAAGGAATTTTACCCCATGATCAGACTGGCATAAATTGTGTGCATGGGGGGTGGGGTAGGGGCAGGGAGGAAGCGGAGAGATTGCCTTCCTTTGCAGTGGGGGGCATGGCCTTTTTCCCTTGGATCTTTTGAGCATACTTCAACAACCCGCACGGCATTAGAACTCCAGCATCTTTTGTCCCCCTGCTTTATCTATGGCAGGTGAGGATGCCATGTCGTGTGGCCGTTTGATAGGTTTGGCTGATCTAAGTTTAGTAATAGATTAGACAAGGAATAGTTTGGATAGTGATGTTTCTGCCTCAGCTAGGAGGTTGGCAGAGATGACCTAGAGAGGTCCCTTCTAGCCCTATTTTTCTATGATGCAATGGCCAGTAGAGCTATTTTATAATATAACTGGCTAACCCAACAGCAAACTGTTTTGTACAGCTGTAACTTCCCTGATAAAATTACCAGAATATTAGCAGATATCTGTGAGCAAGAATAACTGAGGAACAAATCAACAGAATGGTCCAATGAGGGGTATGTAATGGGGAAGGTAACCTCACCAGTGCATGATGAAGGTAACCTCACCCGTGCAAGATCAATCCAATTTCTTCCAGAGGGGGTACACTGTAAATAGGAGGGTATAGGCTTGCTGATAGCCTCAGCACACCTTACATGCTTTTGTCATTTTCTGATCCACAGTTTCCATAGTTTGCTGCTGGAGTCCTTTCCATTGGGCTCTTCCTTGGACACCTGATAACTAGTCCGTGTATCTGGTTAATGTTCTGATGTCTTATTGACACCAAATTCTGCGCTGAGGCATTGAGGACATGTGGCAATTACTTCAATACTGTGCCAATTGAGGTATTGTCATTAAGAATTCACCCAAACTGGGAAACTGCTAAATTATCTTTAAAGTCTTTGACATTATTATGATATGTATCACTAGGAATATGTTGATAAGTACTGCTGTTTTCTTAATATCAACTGTAACCCCAAAAGCATGTACAACAGTTGCAAAAGATTCATGATCACTTGGGGATAAAACCTTGAACGGGTTAACAAGTGAAGCATCTACCACATAAAGGAGATTGTGAGTGCAAGTTTCCTATATTTTGGTAGAGTATGCAGACATAACAGACAGAAAGTTATTCAGTCTGTACTTGTTTGGATGTAGACATTAGCTTCAAAAGTTTTTGATGTATTTTAGATCACAGCTACAAGATAGGAAGAGAAAAGAATTGGTGCTGGCGCACAACCTTGCTTGGTCCCTTGGGAAAGGATCAGTAGTATTTCTTCATCAGTAAGGACTTGACTATGACTATTCATGCCACTGACAAACATCTCTGAGGACTTTTTCTGAACATCAGTATTTTGTTATTCATAAAATTTCCTGTTCACTCATTCAAAAGCTTTAAAGAAATCCAGGTATCCAGGTTGTAGTCACAT